CTTCAGCCTCCCTCTCTGTTTCATGAGACCCTCTGCCACCCCCCGACCCCACCCCGCTTCTCCCCCTACCCCCCCACCCCTCAGGCTGCCCAGATGCTCTAATCACAGGGCCAGTAGGAGGGGGCACGCTCTTGTCTATGGCCAGCCCCTCCACTGTGACCTAGGTCCCAGCCCTTCTTGGCAACTCAGGAGCATTACTCCACCGTTAATCGTCCCCTCTTCCTTCCTGCGTCCATTCCCTCTGTCTACCAGATCATTCCCAGCAGCCTGTCCCCCATGCTGCTGTTTTCCTGTCTTAGCGCGCAAGCCGCAGGACGGACACACACACACGCACAGCCTTCTCTGGGCCTGCCCCTCCAGCGCTCGCTCTATTTTTCTGCTTCTTGCTGTCCCCAGGTTCTCCTCTCCCATGCTCTCCTGAGCCACTGCCGGGCTTCATCAGACCTGTTCTTGTCCAAGACACCAAGGGCATCCCGGCTGCGGAATCCGCCAGTCACTCCCCAGTGCTCGTGGGACCTGGCCATGAGCAGCATTTGATGTGGCCCCCATCCCTCCTTGACACTGTCTTCACGTGGCTCCCTGGACACCCATGTCCCGGACTTCCTCCTGCCTCACTGGTCACCCCTTCCCCCTACCAGACCCGGTCCTTGGTCCTGGTGTCTCCTCAGCACTCACTCCTTGGGGGATGGCACCCGGCCTCATGGCTTTAAACAGAGTATCTATACCAAAGACTCCAGTCGACCAGCTCCACTCCGAGCTCTCCCCCGAGGCCCAGGCTTGTCCATTCCGCCACCTCTGCACACCTGCCCTAGACTAACATGCCTTAGGCTCAACATGTCCGAAACTGGACCTCTGACCTCCCCCGATCCCATCTCAGTTTATGACAATACATCCCCCCAACAGCTCAACCCAAACCCCACACCCACACAGCCTGCCAGGAAGTCCTGTGCTTTACTTTCCAGAAGCCAATCCCTGCCACCACCCTGGCCCCAGCCGCCCTCAGCTCTTGCCTGCATTGCTATCTCCAGCTTCTGCCCTTGTTCCCTTCCCAACTCTGCAGCCAGGGCGATCCTGTTATAATGAATGTGAGGCCATGTCATTCTGCTCAGACCCTCCATGGCTCCCACCTCCCTCAGAGTCAATGTCAAAGTCCTTACAAGGCCCACAGGCCCTTTTGCCATCCCCCTACCTTTGCTTCATCTCCAGCCACTCTCCCCTTCACTCTCTCCACTCTGATCACCCTCACCTCCTTGCTTGAACACACCAGGCATGTATCTGCCTCAGGGCCTTTGCACTGGCAGTTCTCTCTGCCTGGAACTCTTTCCTCAGATATTCTCAAGACTAGCTTCGTATGGCAGGCAGAATAATGGCCCCCAAAGATATCCACATCCTAATCACCAGAACCTGTGAATATATTACCTTACATGGCAAAAGGGACTTTGTAGGTGTGAACAAATTAAGGATCTTGAGATGGGGAGATGATCCTGGATTATTCAGGTGGGCTCAAGGCAATCACAAGACTCCTTACGAGAGGGAGGCAGGAGGGTCAGGGTCAGAGCGAGAGATATGAAGGTTCCACACAGCTGGCTCTGATGATGGAAGAAGGGGCCAGGAGCCAAGGAATGTGGCAGCCTCTAGAACCAGGATGTCATTGTACCCTCCGTGATATACAGACAGGGAAACTGAGGTCAGGGAGGGCAGCATGTGCCTGGGGTCTTTCCTCCGTGGCCCCTGGCTCTCACTCCAAGCCTGGGCTCTCTTGCGTAGGCCCAGAGGTCCCCCGTTCACTCTTCTTGCCACATGGCACCCTGGAAACCCAAGAGCCTCAACCGTTTCCACCCCTGGGGACTCAGTGTCCCCCCTTCAGAGCTTACCTATCCTGGGCCCCCCTTGCCAGAAGCTGGTCAAATCGGAGACGGCTGGGCCCGGCTGTTGGTGTGTGCTGGAGGCAGAGGCTCTGCCCAGCACCCCCGCTCACCCGGGTGCCCATGGTGCCCTAAGAGCCAGGAGCCTGGATGCCAGCAACACCACGAGAGCCTGGCATCCTCCTCGGGGCCTGGCAGCTCCCTCACTCACCTGTGCCTGGGCCTGTGTGCACTGCCTGGGACACAAACGCTCGCCTGGTCTAAAGGTGCCTCCCCCAATTGCAGGGGGTCCTAAGGGCCTCCCTGTGAGGTGGCTGGCATTACCCTTGGGTGGGGAAGTGAGCCCACCGCCCTGCAGGGCTATGTGCTGGGTTATATGCACCTTCCGAGCCCATTTCTCAGACGAGAGCAAGAATGGTTACGCCCACCTAGGCGAGTTAGGGAGGGTTCCCGTGCAGATCTCTAGGAAGGACTCCAGGGAGGCCAGTGCTAGGGAGCCGCCCCGGCAATCCCGCCTCGGGGGGGGGGGGGGGGCGCGTCTGGAAGGACTACGAGTTACCACAGCGGGGGCTGAAGTAGCGCTCCTCCTGGGGCCCACCGTTTTCCCACCCGGCCCTCTCCAACACCCGCCCTGGGCCAGGCCTATTACCTCTCCTGGTAGCGGGAGGGACCTCCGCACAGGCATTCCCGTCCCCTCGGGCCCCTCCAGTGCATGTCCAGACTGCAGAGTGAGGCTTTACAACCTCAACGAGACCACTGCTCCCCGCCCAAGACCCTGCGACGGCTGCTCTGCAGGCCAGACGCCCCGCCCCGTGCCATCCCGTGGGACTCGCCCACCCCGCCAGGCCCCGCCCCGGCCGGCCACATCCTCCGAGGCCCTGCCCCACACCGCCTGTGAATCCCCGCCCTCCCCGCCAGGCCCCACCTTGCCCTGTGAGACCTCCCCTTCGGTGAGGCCCCGCCCCATCCCACGAGGCCCAGCCCAGCCCCCCTGCCGCCCTGACCTCGACCTCTCCCCGCCAGGCCCCGCCCCTCCCACGAGGCCCCGCCCCCCGCTCCTGGGTCCGCTCCCCACCCCGGCTCCCCCAGCCCGCGTGGCTCCCCTGGCCCGGCACGCGGCCGCCCTGCCCACAGACTTGGGGGGGAGCCAAAACCACTCAGGAAAAGAGGCCTGTTTTTTTTAAAATTTGTTTATTTTAAAACATGAAACCCAAGCTGAATAGAAACCACAGAAATTACATTAACGAGATTTTTAGTATTTGCCAAGAAAAATAAAGCCCCCAAAGAAATAAAAATCAAACCCCAAACCCAGTTTAAAAAAAAAAAACACACGGCGACAGCACATACAGCCATGGCCCTGCGGAGGAGGGAGGAAAATGGAGAGGCTCAGGCCTCCGTTCCCGCTCAGGAGGCTAAATGACACGCGGTGGAAGGGGGGGAGTGCAAGGGCCAGGAAGGGAACCGGGAGGGTGGGAGTCTTAACAAAACTATATCCAGAGATATGTTATATGTGACAAACATAAAGTGGTGTGGCACACACCATTATGGTTCAACAAAAAAACCCCACAGAGGCCCTGGTCCCCACCCGCCCCACCCACCCCTCCTGGGGCTGGCAGGGGTTCTGGGCAGGGAGCAGACTGGTGCTTGGACTGGACTTGCATAGTGACATGGGGTGGGCATGGCAGGGGAAGAGTCAGAGGCTGCCACCAGGCCCTCCCCCTACGCAACCACGCCCCACCAGGCCAGGGGAGGCGGGGAGCGGACACCTGCACAGGGAGCGCTGGCCCAGCCTGTCAGGGCGGGGGTGGGGGTGGGGGGGGCAGCCGGCAGCGCAGCTGGACCCTGTGGGTTTGATGGGGCCCCTCCCTCCGACCCCTGCAGCACCCCTACTGCTCACATGGTTAAGGACCACCCCCCAAGATGCTGCAAGGCCTGAGGGGAGCAAGGCCCACTGGTGCAAGGTGGGAGTGGATGTGCAGAGGTCACTGGGATGGGGATGGTTAGAAGGACCCCAAAAACCCAGAAAAAAAGAGAACCAATGGCAGGATGTGCCCCACCTCCACGGACTGAGGCTTGGGTTTGAACCCCTTTTGATTTTCCCCTTTTCCTTTACCCAACCCCGGCGAGTAGAAGGAACTCGGGTGGAGTCACAGGCGGGGTGGCACACGCACACGACGCACGGGGGACGCCGAGACGGCAGCGCCCACCTCTCATGCTATGTACATTCACATTGCGGCGGCCTCCTTGGGCCGCGGGCAGCCGTTTGTGCTTCTGAGCGGCGGCAGAACGCACTGCGGGCACCTGGCCAGGACTGCTGGCGCCCCCTCCTGACCCAGGTGGAGCCCAGAGGAGAGACTGGGCAGGCCGCCTGTGGCCCCGTAGGGTCCCAGAACAAGGGCCAGCCAGGGCTTGGAGCAAAGGTCCCTGCAGTGAGGTTTGGCCATGCCCAGGGGCTCAGATTCGAGGCTTGGGCCTCCAGGCCCACCTGGGGCACCCCCATGTTTGCCCACTCACTCCTCCCAGGGCAGAGGCTGTCCCAGGGGTGGGGCAGCTGCAGCCCGGCCGCCACTCCACCCACACTTTTGGTCCCAGACACCAGCACAAAGAAAGAGGGATCACAGAGGAAGGGAAGGCAGCCTCCCCCAGCCCATCCCAGGGAGGGGGTGCTGCTCCACTGCTCTGGGAGGAAGAGCCCACGTGTCTGTAAACTGCTAGGCCAGCCGCCTGTCTCCCACTGCAGGCCTTCACATGTGGCTGTGAGTGGCCCTGTGCTGCCCCTGGCCTGACACACAGGCCAGGGCCCACATCCGGCCTCTCCATGTCAGGCTGGCTGGGCCAGGGCTGGCAGGGGCTGGCAGGGGAGTCCCCGTCCTGATTTGGGGGCAGCCCCACCGTCCTTGGCAGGAAACAGCAAACATTGTACACTAAAGCCAAAAGCACCTTAGGGAAGCCTTGTTCCCACTTCACAGGTAGGGAGACCAAGGCCACAGGGACCTCGGTCCTACAGCCCAAGGGATTTGTCCCTGAGGACACGGTCCTCCTGGGGCAGCACCTGCCCTGGAGAGGGGTCTCCAGGCCCTCGGGCTGCCTATCGGTCTACACCCCCCCCAGCAGCACCCCAAGAAAAAACAGCTATTCCAGCCTGACTCCCAGCCGGCTGTCCTGGGCCTCGTCTCCGGCCTGGACTCGGGGTCACGCTCACCGGCTCTGGGTCAGCCGGGGTGCCCGCGGAGGCTGGGGTAAGGTTAGTGGTTAGTCCCAAGAGGGGCGGCAAGGGCCGAGGGCACGTTCATGGGCAGCTCGGGTCCAGCCCCCGAGGCCGGGCTCCGGGACGCTGCGCCTGTCCTGGATGGAAAGGGAACCGAGAAGGCAGTGCCACTTGGCCCGCAGCTCCCTGCCCTAGAGATGACAAACGTGGTTAGTGCAAAAAATGACCCAGACGGAGCTGCCAAGTCTCTGGGGTAGGGGAGAGGGTTTGGCACCAAGAAGGCGGCCAGCACTGGGTGAGCGGCCTGGGCTGGCGTGGCACCTGCTGTCCTCCTGCCGCCGCAGAGGGCTGGGTGCCACGGGCAGGGCGGGTGCTGAGGGAGAGAGCGATGCTGGGCAGGAGGCAGAGAAAGTGGGCCTCCCTGAGGAGGCTTCTGGCAGCTGGCGGGAGGGGGCTTGGGATCGGGGGTGGCGAAAGAAGGAAGGAGCTCCAGATACTGCAGAGAGAGGCGCGTGGACAAGCCGCAGGAGTCTCCATGCTGGGGAGGCGAGCAGGCGGGCACACACCGCCGTCCCCTAGATGCCGGCACGGACAGGCTCTGCAATGTCTGCGAATAAGAAGCGATGCCCAGAAGCATCGAGGGTGCAGGAAAAGCGTCACAGCTGCAGGAGAGAAGGAGTGGGCTGGGTGCGAGGCAATGAGACTGCAGGGGTCCGGAGGGTCAGCGTGCTGCAGAGGGAGCGGCAGGGACACAGCACCGTCGTGTCTGGCCCAGAGCAGGGCTCTGCGAACCCAAATCCTCAGAGGCAGAGGGGTGAGGGCGAGGAGGGGTGAGGGCCAGGAGGGCCCAGGTTTTGGTGGTGGCGCTGCCACGTGTCCAGGCATGTGACCCAAGGAGAGGGTGCAGGCCCAGAGCCCCCGTGTCTCCACTGACCTGGGGTTCATGCCAGGTAACTCCATACCCCTGCAGGAAGGGGAGAGGAGGGGCAAGTGGCTGCAGAGGTGCCCGTAGCGGGCCTGGCATACGTGCAGAGGGTCCGGCGGGCGGCCACGGGTGTAAGCGGCAGTGCTGGCACGGGGAGGAGCAGGGCGATTGGCACGTGGGACGGTGGCTGGCCGGGGCAGTCTAGTGCCCGCTGCTGCTGGAGTCGGGGCGAGGCTGGCTCGTGGCGAGGTATTTGGCTCTCATGCTGGAGGTGTACTGGAGGGAGACAGTGGGGGCAGGCAGTCAGCAGGGCACTGGATGTGGCCGGGCATGGGCCTTGGTGGGGTGCACCAAGAAGCACCCCTGGGGGCAGGACAGGTAGCACAGCTGACAGAGCCCTGGGGGTGGGGGCTCCAGGAGGGGCCCGCGGGCCCAGAGCCTAGACACCGAGGCCCAGCTGGCGGCACCAGGCAGCAGAGGTCTGGCCCCTCTTGCCAGGCTCAGGATGGGGAGCAGTCTCCCCTCCTGCTGAAATGAGCATACTCAGCCCCGTCCCCAGATGTTGCAGGCATCCGGGTGCTATGCCAGGCACAGCTCTGCCTCTACCAGGAGCCGGAGCTCAGAGGCTCCCCAACTGCACCCCACACACCCAGGACCTGAAGGCCACACACAGGCTGCTTCCTCCCGCTGCAGGATCCCAGCTGGGGGCCAGGAGGAGGGCGTCATGCAAAGGTGGGATAGGGCTGTGTCCAAGGATGGGCCAGATGGTCCCCGAGGGTCTGGTTGGGCAGGGCCTCAGGCCACAAGAGTGAGGAGGCCCCACGGCCACTCTGCCCTGTCACCCCGGGGAAGGAGGGCCCCAAAAGCTGCCCCTCAGGCTGGGTGAGAACCAAACTGTGGGCTCCTCCTGGGTCACAGAGGTAGTGACAGCTGGGGGGAGGGGATGGCCTGCACGTCTTGGCCACCCTCGTCCAACCTGAAGCACGAAGGCCTCGCTTAGAGCACATGCGTGTGAGTGTGTGCTCACACATGGAGGAGGTGTGCGCGACAGCCAGGCAGTGTGCAAAGGGCCACATGCCCATAAGGAGATGGGGACAAAGGCCAAGGCATATGCCAAGTGTCGCCAGTGGTAAGGAGCCTGGCAGGCTGACCCCACAGCCACACGCTAACCCCACTGACCCCTGGGAGCTCCAGCAACTGGAGTCCCCACACCACAGTCCCCAGATCAGGAGGGACAATGTCCCCTAGTCCCCAAGAGCGCTCCTGGAATTCCTGGTCAGGAAGAAGGTTGCAAGTGCCTGTTGGGTGGCCTGAAGGAAGAGCAGCAGGCACCAGGGAGCCATGTCATTCCATGGACATGCAGCAGGGGCGAGGGGGACAGTGGGCAGCAGCCCAGACCCCTGAAGGAGCCCAAGCAGGCGTGCACGGTGCTGTTTGGGGCTGGCTGGGAGCAGCCTGCACACACCCGCGTGCACTTCTGGACATGCAGGGCGTCACCTTGAGGGCCAGGCCTGCTGGCCGCACGCCAGGGCCCTAGCTCACCCGTGCTCTGCCTCCCTGAGCCAGGTGCCAGGGGCAGGCATGCACGGGGTCTGGGTGGACAGTCTCCTCGCTGGGAGGTGACAAGAGGAGCTGGGGCCACCTGCAGCTGGGCCAGGGGTGCGGAGGGGCATCTGTGGAGGGGCTCACTGCCACTGACATGAGGGTGACAGGCCCAGGGCCAGCACCAGAGGTCTCTGTGGCTGGGATGGGGCCGCAAAGCCCACGGGCCTGAACCAGCCCAGAGCTGGCCCCACGGGTGCTGAGCTGAGATGGCTCTGGGGCACGTCAGATGGTGAGGGGGCAGCAGGGAGGATGAGGCACGGAGGCACAGGTGGGTGGGCAGTGCAGGGCAGAGGACGCGGGGTGGATCAGTACCTGTCACTCTGAGGACACGGCCACCACAGCGTTCAGGCACTGTCCATGGGCTTAAACTGCCAGCCCGCGTGGCTGCCAGAGTCCAGGGCAGCCAGATAGCGCTAGGAGGGCCCAGGGTGGGAGGGGTGCAGGAGAGAGAGAGAGAGGGCAGCCTCAACACCAGGGCGAGGGCCCGGCCCGGAGCAGGCCTTGGGGTGGCTGGAGCAGAGTGCCGATGAGGAGGGCAGCCTGAGCATGATGGCATGGGCTGGGAGCCCACACAGCCCCTGGTCCAGGTCCAGGGCACCCCAGGCCAGCTCTGTGCTGCACAATGGGCATTTCTGAAGCAAAGTGGCCTGCAGCCTCTCTGGGTCTGTCCTTTGCGGACCACCACCGCCAGGAAGCCTGCCAGGCCCCCACCTCTCTGCAACTCCTTCTCTTTGGCACCACACCACGGTGTCCTCTTTTCCGTGTCTCACCCCTAAGGCCAGAGGGAACCCCAGGCCACGCTAGAAGACCCAGGGGCCGAGACCCAGGTCGAGCTCAGGAAGTGAAGGAAGAAGAGGAAGCAGGGCCAGGCTGGGAAGAGAGAAGTCAGGCTCCCTCAGAGCTGAGCTGATCCACCGACAGCTGGCCCCTGGCTGCCCACTCTGGCCCCAGGGTACCTCAAGGCCAGCTTGTGAGGCCACCCAGCCCCATCTATGCGGCTGGATGACCGCCCAAGAGCCCCGGCTGGGAGCCCCCTTGGCCCTGGTGCTGGAGGCTCACGGCCGCCTGCAGGGCCTGCACTGCTCGTGGGGGCCACACTGAGCAGCAGGGCGGTGCCCCCACCCAGGCCTTGGTTCCCCCACCCACCCTCCTGCCCCAAGACTTACTGAGGGCGGCGGGGACTCGCGCCCGATGAGGGGGGTGTTCTCACAGCGAGGGTTCTGGAAATTGGCATTCTGGCTCCTGAGACATGAGGAGACAGGGGCTGTGAGTGACCCCTGGCCCGTTCTGGAGCCAGGCAGACCCTGTGCAGTCTCATCACCACCCTGTCTGTGGCCCGCTAAGCAAGAGCCTGGGGGTCCCATGAACCCAGCACAGCAACAAAGGGCTCAGAGCGGAGCCAAGGCTGCCGCCTGCCTGCCTCAGCCCAGCCAGAGCCCGTGCCCCCACCGGCTGCCTGCCCACCACGTGCCGGGCCGTGCCCTGGACACAGATGCTCTGTCTGGCCAAGTGGCCTCGACCCAGGTTTGCCTGGGAGCAGCAACACTCAATGCCAGGCCAACCCCCCTCCCCCACACACAGCCCGGGCAGCCCCCACAGTGCCGAGGCCTTTCTCCGGCCCACTGCGTGGCCCCTGGCCGGCCTCTGCCCCGACTCCGCTGCTGCAGTACCAGTCCTCACTCCTGCCTCCCCCTTTCCTGCTCGCTAGTCCCAGGCTGGACCCACACTCTGAGCCACAGCTGACATGCCTGCCGCCACACTGAGCTCCACGCAGCCTGCCCCAGGGTGTGGCTCTGCCTGTCCCTGCCTGGACTGCCCCACCTGCTCCTTGCACGACTCACATGTACTCGGTGACCGGGGCGTTGCTGACAGTGTGGGCCGCGGCCGGGATGCTGGTCTCGCTGCCGTAGCTGCTGCCGCAGCTGTATAGACTGGGCATGTGCACGCGGTAGAGACTGTCGTGCACCTGCCGTGGCCCCGGGGCAGCCTCCTCCTCCCCATCCTCGTCGGGGCCTCTGCAGGAAGGGACAGCCAGCATAGGCTCAGGCCCTGACGTGAGGAAGCCAGCCACAGGACCTGCAGGGGGTCAGCTCTGGTGCAGACACAGCTGGTGCTCACCCTGGCTCGGCCACGTACACGCTATGGGACTGTGGGCAAGTCACCTCACTTCATCCTCTGTGAGATGGGGACACCAAGGAACCTGCACCTCAGCCTGCACACAGCGACACTGACTGTCTGCCTATTGAAAGGAGGGAACAGGGCCCCTCCTGGGGGAGCACAGAGGACTGGGTGTCAGGAAGCAGGGGCACCCTCCTTTGACTCTTTGACCTGAGCCCAGTCCTCCCCACTCTGCTGCCCTCTGGATTCCCAGCCTCCACTCCACCCAAGCCGCTGCAGGGCGAGGCGAAGGAGCCGCGGGCCAGGCCTCTGGTGCTCTCAAGCGTCATCACACCCTGCCTGGTCCCAGACGGAACTTGGGGCTGGGCTGCCTGGTGGTGAGAGCATAGGTCAGCCAGGCCTGGGCTTACATCCCACCTCACCACCACCAGCTGGGTGACCTCGAGCAGAGGGTCTTCTCACCACATTCCTCGTAGTGAGATAAGCAGGACGGCAGCAGCAATTGGCTGAGCACCGATTCCAGCCAAGCCCAGGGCGGAACCCTCACACATAGAGGCTCATGTAGTGCTCACTGACACTGGGGGATGTATTCTTACACCCCCATTCTACAGGTAGGGAAATTGAAGCCCAGCGTGGTTACATGACTTGCCCACAGTCACCCAATAAGCAAGGGTAGAACCAGGATCTGAATCCAGGCCATGTGGTTCCAGGGCTGTGCTCTTAGCCACTCCCCTATAGCTGCCACCTTAATTACCACCAGCATCATCACTGCCACCATCACTACCATCACCACCCCCATCAGCACCATCACCATCATCGTCATCACCATCATGACCATTATCATCATCACCACCATTACCATCACCATTGCCATCACCACCATCACTGCCACCACCATCATCGCCATTGCCACTATCACCATCAGCACCATCACCACTACCACCACCACCATCATCAGTACCATCATCATCGGCACCATCACCACCATTATCATCATCACCACCACGATCAGCACCACATCATCATCAGCACCAGCACCACCATCATCACCATTATCACCACCACCACCACCATCACCATTACCGCCACCAGCACCATCACCATCACCATCAACACCATCGTCCCCATCGCTATCACCATCATTATCACCACTGCCACCACTGGCAGCATCACCATCACAACAGAAAATAATAGAGTAGAAATCCAGACAAAGGAAAGAGATCTGAGCTGAGCTACTTGCACCCAAGCTGTGCCCACAAGAAGCAGCCATAGCCCAAATGGGACAGGAGATAATGGGTCCATGATGTGCACCATGGGGGCCCAAGCAAGGGAAAGGGGCCTGGCCCCCTCATACACCACTCAACCCAGTACTGACTGGGGGAACTTGAAGCAGGGACCACCAGGACCCCTACTTCAAAGATAAAGACACAGTGGCCCCATGGGAAGTAGCTGCTATCCTGGTCACCCACCTGAGTGGGACATGGAGGCCATGGTGACCTGGAGCACTCCCTGCAGAAGCTGTAATTCCCCACAGCCAGCCAGCTGGTCTTTCCACCCACAGCCCTGCACACTTGCAACCAGGGGTCAGGGGACAGATGAGACATTCTGAGCCCCGCCAGTCAGAGGCATGGAAGGGTGTGGGGCACAGGGCCAGCACTAGGCAGCAGGAGACCCCGGTTCTCCCTGCTTGCTCTGGACTGGCGCGTCACCTGAGCTGGGAGCTCCTCTAGGCTCCGTTTCCATCTGTGAAAGGGGGATGCTACGGAGACCTGCCAGCCTCAGGGTCGCTGCAGGGGCTTAGAGAGTGTTCAGAGGTGAGGAGGCATCTGCCCCTGTCTCTTCGGACAAGGATGTGGAGGGGTCCAGAAGGCACATCCCTGGGTGCTGTAGGGCCTGGGGCAAGCTCCAGGACCTCTCTGAGCTCCTCACCTCTTCTGCTGCCAGGTGTGAGGGACGCTGCAGACGACAGAGCTGAACATGAGGGCTGTGACGAAGGAGAAGAGGGCCAGGTAGATGAGGCCCTCGACGCCATCATAGCAGAAGCCTGTCAGGGCCTGCACATAGTCCTGAGGCCGGGCAGGGACAGGAGAGGGACGAGGAAGGCAGGGTGAGACGGAACACGCTGACAGCCGTGCCTGCCCCAGCTGTTCCCCCGCCCCCCGCCCCCCAGCTGCTCCCTGCTCTGGGCTCCGGGAGGCCAGTACTCACCAGACGCAGGCTGCGGCAGTCCACCAGGGCAGTGAGGTGCTGCAGGTTCACCTCCGTGCCGTTCAGCACCTCCTGGACGCGGAGCAGGGGGTCCTGGGGGCACACACCATGCAAAGTCAGCACCATGCTCGGGAGGGGGACCCAAGGCAGCCACAGGCCCCCTGGGAGCCCCCAGGTCTCCCTCCACCCCAGCCCCTGCCATCCAGACGGCCCTCAACCCCACGGTCGGTGCAGGTCCTAAGGACCCTGGGCTTTCAGAAATGGCGACCCCAGAGTCGGTGCCTGGCCTCAAGGGACTGCTGACGACGTGAGGACAGGGGACCCAAAGACATCTGCCCAGTGCGGCCACCACTGTGTGTCCCTTTATTGTAACAGGAAGAACAGCAAACCTTCACATGTCTCCTGACACGGGCCTAGTTCTTTTAAACATCACATTTTAAGGAACAAAGACAAGGGAAAATTTTTCACGATATCTTAAGAGACAAAACATTATCCAAAACGTTCTGTGTAGAGTGAGCCCGATCCTTGTGTGTGTGTGTGTGAGTCTGCTGTGTGTACACAGACACCTCTGTCTACATCTTCTCCATGGAAAGATGGCTGCACGGAACACCTCAGGGTTGACAGTGGCTCTCTAGACGCTGCCTTTTATAACATATTTTCTAGGGACCCTCTGCGATCCTGAAATGGATATATAACTTACTGTTACAGGTTGAATCATGTGTCCCCCCCAATTCACATGTTGCAGTCCTAACCCCACACCTCAGCATGTGACCGTATGTGAAGATGGGCTTTTAAAGAGGTGATTAAGGTCAAATGAGGTCACTAGGGTGGCCCTACTCCATCAGAACTGGTGTCCTCTAAGAAGAGGAGATGAGGACACAGACACGCACAGAGAAGACATGTGAGGACATGGGGAGAAGACGGCCGTCTACACACCAAGGGGAGAGGCCTCAGGGGAAACCAGCCCTGCCAACACCTGGATCTGGACTTCAGTCTCCAGGACTCAGAGAATAATGTCTGTAGTCTGAGCCGCCCAGCAGGGGCACTCTGTTATGGCAGTCCTGGGAAACGAACCCACCTGCCTATCCACTCAATTGCAAAAAATCAAGAGGATGCCCGACTGTAACAGAAATAAGGAATAAAAGGAAGTAACTTGAAAGTGGTGTGTGTGTGCATGTATATATATTGTTTTAATTTAAATTTTGTGAAGTCTATTGGAGAAGGACTGGCTGCTCACAAAAGAAGCATGGAGCCCCATGGTCCCCAAAGATGCATTCCTCTCCCGTCCAGATCTGGGGCGCTGCACACACGGGCTGGGTTCCCCCAGGCCCCCCAACACCTGCAAGGAGGCTGTCTTCTGTCAGGAGCACAGTGACACGTGTGACATGGAAGTGCTCAGGCCCCAGACACCACAGGGAAAAACAGGCCCCTCAAATTCCCAGAACGCCCCCAGGGGGCGCACCTCGCCCTCAGAATTGAGGCAGGCAGAGGATCTTACTTGCAACTGTTTCCATTTTCCCCATTTTTTAAAAACAGAGCTTGTATTACTTTTAAAATAAAGAACAGAATAATTTGTAAAAAACCCCCCAAAACCCCCAAGGAAGTGAAAGGCAGGATCCTGAGTGGTGTCCGCAGCACACCTCCCTTCCATGGGGACAAAGGTGCCTGCGCTGCATGGGGTCCCGCCACGCCCCTGCCCGCCCCAAAGCCCCTCACCTTGGTGGCGGGGTGCTCCCGCGGAACAGTCTTCAGGAGCTCGGCCACGATGTCCTGCATCTCCACCAGCGCCTTGTGGCTGCCCGACAGCTTCTGCTCCACAGAGAGGCCGGCTGATTCCAGCGAGGTCTGGGGACAGCACATCTCCCCCGCGAGGCCCCCACCCACACATGGGGCAGGCAAGAACTGGTGCCCCAGGCTTCTGCCAGCCCAAGGGGCATCCAGAGGCTACCAAGCTCCCAGGTCGGGTGGGCTGCACCAGGACCAGTGGGGGCGGCTGGCACTCCACTCTGTGGGCCCAGGGCCCCTCCTCCCTGGCTCCCCCCAGGCTGCCCAAGTACCCGGAGATGATACAGATCACCAAGAGTACGGCGTCTTTAAAGCAGACCAACAGTCGTCAGGACCCCAGAGAGCCATGCAATCACACAAGTGACAGGCAGGGGCTAAAGGATTTCCCTTCCGATTCCACCATGACGACACCCGTCCAGTTCCTCCACAGGGCGGGCACAGGACCCCTCCCACACTGAAGCACCCCTGGCCCCTCCACGCCTGCTGGACAATCGGCTTTGTCCTGCTGGGATGGCCAAGGGCAACTCGAGAAATGAAAGGAGTCCCAGGAATTTGGGGGGCATTAAGCAGGCCACCCCAAAAGGCTTGCACCAAGGGCATCAGGGCGGTAACCCCCGGAGCAGGTATGATATCAACACGGTGTTCGCCCAGCTGCCTCCCAATGGCCCCCTGGGTCCCAGGGGTCTGAGGAGGCATGAGTGGGCCTGGTGGGCTGCAGAGGTGTAGGCTTTGGGGGCCACGGCCTGTCTGGCCACTTTCATGCACATGTAAACACGGCACTTCTGACTCTGCCCTCGGCCCTGGCCTCCCAGGGGCAGGAGAAGCCCGAGCTCTCACCTGCTGGAAGGGGTTGGAGGCACGGGGCGAGCAGGCCAGGTAGTACTGCAGGATGTCTGCGGAGAGAGGTCAGGGCGGCTGAGCGGCTCCGGCCATCTGCATGTGTCTGTGCGTGCGTCTGTGTGTGCTGTATGTGTGCCTACGTGTGCACTCACACAGGTACATGTATGCATGCACGTGTGTGTGCATGCATGCCTGTGTGCACGTGCATCTGCATGTATGCTGTGCATGTGTGTCTGTGTGTGCTTGCTGTTAGTTTGTGTGCACATACATATGTGCACGTTTGTATGTATGTGTGTGTGTGTAGCTGTGCGCAGCTGTGTGGGTGTGTGCACACATGTGGGTGTCTACATGTGCAAATCTGCATGTACATGTGCATATATGTGTGTGTCTCCATGCATGTATACACATCTGCATGTGTGTGCAAATGGAAATGTGGCCTCCAGGGAGCCCAGGGCTGGGGACCCAGACCCTTGTGCTCTGAGCAGTGTCCCCACAGTGTGCACAATCCTCTCTTGGAGGGGAGTCTCATATCTCCACTCCCTCTGGAGCAGCAGACAGGGCACTGGGGATGGGCAAGGGGTCAGAAGACCCCCAGGGAAGAGTCACTCGGGCAGAACAACAGTTTTTAGGCCAGAGCGTCCTTCCAAAGAGGAGGGGACACAGCCCAGAGGTCGCAGCCTCAAGGGCCCAGGACGCAGGTGGCCAGTCTGTCTCATTCCCACTAAAACAGGTGCCAATTCAGCGTCCAATGCTGAAAGATGGAGATTCACTTACAATTCTGATTCGGAAAACCCGAGGAGACCTGAGCCCAGCTGGAGCCGAGGGAGGAGCCCTGGACCCTGACTGCCTCCCCCGCTCCCCGTGCTCTCTGGCCCCACAGGTTCCCTGGGTGGGGTCAGGGCCCTACCCTTGAACAGTGACACTGGCTTTGAAGCTCTAGGCACCTCCCTCGTCGGGGGCCCTCTGGGGCTCAGCACAGGATGAGGGCCAGCCACAGCCCAAGGCAGCCTCTTGTGCCACACTGCATTCGGCCCCTCGGATCTGGGCTCTCATCAAGCTTAGGGTGGAATGTAAGCAAGCCCCCACTTCACTTCAGCCACCTGTGAACGGAGCCAGCACGCTGGCCTTGGGGGGACTGCCTGGCCCTGTGAGGGCAGCCTGCGGCCCACAGGCAGGAGCTCGCACTCCCGTGCGACTGGGGCTGCTCATGCCGGCTGAGAACCCAAAGGCCCCCGGCAGTGAGGACCTGGAGAGGCCAGGCTGATGGCACTGAGGCCAGGGACAGCTGTCACCAGCCCTGCCAGCCCCCAGTAGAGAGGTCCAGCCCTCCCCCGGGGGGCAGACAACTCTCCCTCCTGGGGGCTCCTCGGGCTTTGGTGGAAAGGGTTCCTTCAACAAAATCAGCTAAAAACCAGCCCACACGTTCCCCGCTGAGGCTTTCCAGGCAAATGGGAGAGGACAGTTCCACAAGGGCCAGCATCTCAAGGGCACTCAGCACCCCAGTCCCTGTCAGGGGGCCCTTCTATCTTTCTCTTGTGGAACACGCAGCACTCGCATCAGGGGAAACCAAGGAGCTGAGCCCTCCAGCGCTGACCACACCCTGAGCCCCAGAGTCCACACCCGCCTGCCTCCCCGCATGTCCAACACACACACACCGGGCCCCAACCCCAGACCTTTCTGCCCCCACTCATTCATGGCTCCTGGACGACAGCTGCTCAGACCAGAGTGTGGCAGCCTCACTTCTCTCTCCCCTATAGCCCACTTCTCGGGAAGTCCCATCAGCACCGGCCTCACAGGCACTCCCCGTCTACTTCCCGCCCCGGGGCTCAAGGCACCCTGTCTCCTGCCTGCAGAGATGCAGCAGCCTCCGCCTCCCTTCTTGACCCCCCTCATCACCCAACAGCCCGAAAAAGCTTTGAAAAGGAATTTCAACCATGGACCCTGTCTCTCTCCTGCTCCCCACCCTCCAACGGCCCTCCTAGAATAAAACCGAAATTCCTGACCTCAACCTGGCCCTACTGGCCTCCCCACCCTCTCCTCTCCCAACTGCTCTATGTCCTGCCTCACAAACATATCAAGTTTGTCTCTGCCTCAGGGCCTTTGCACAAGACACACAGCCTTCTCTGGCTCCATTTCAATGCCACCTCTTTGGCAGGCCACCTTGACCACCTGCTCTGACGCAGCCCATCATCATGCCCCCACCCCCACCCCACTGGCCTCACACAGTGCCTGTCCTCATTCCCTCCAGAGCCTTCCACTGGTGGAAGGTGTTCCTGTCCACTCACTAGCTTCCTGATCTGGGTGGGTCCTGCCTCTCCCAGACCAAGGGACTTGGCCTCGCTAAGTCGGGTCTTCCCAGCCCAGCCACAGGGGTGCCAGGTCAGACATGGCCGCAGACTCACCCCCACTCAGCACGGAGTGCTCCTCCACCATCCTGGTCACATAGGTGTCAGGGTCCACACAGAAGTCACTGGAGCCCTGGGGTGGGTGTGGGCAAGGAAGATGGGTGACCAAACTAGGCCCCCAACCCTCAGCTCTCAGGGTAGAGCCTGGGCCCCAGAGTCTGCTTTCAGCCCAGGAAGGTGGAGTATGAATCTGGGGGGCACGAACTTGCTGTGTGCCCATGGACAGGTTCCCACCCCTCCCAGTGTCCCAGGGGAGGGTGGGAAGGGAGAGGAGTGTGGCTTCCCCCCACCGCCTGCCCCCATGCCGAGGCCCAGCAGACAGGGCTTGCCCTGCCCCTCCACCACTCACCACAGACACGGCCAGCTCCAAGCCCAGTGAGCCCCAGCTGATGACCAGGGCCAGGACCCCCAGCAGGCAGACCCTTGGGGCAAAGAAAGCCAATCAGCAGCCCCCCAGCCAGAGGGTGGGGGCCATGCCACCTGCCGGGCTGCAGGCCAAAGGCCCAGGTCCCAGGGCACATCTGGGGGTCTGCCCACCTAGAGGCTGCAGCTTCCCGGTAGTCTGGCATTAGCTAGAGCCGCCCGAGAGCCAGGCCCAGATGAATCCCTCTGGAGTGGGCGAGGGAAGCTCAGAGAGCTCAGAGTGGGGGCAGGGAGGGCGGGTTTCGGCTTGGCGGGCCAGGTGGCTTCCTAGCCCCCGACCCGGGCCCCTCTCCACAGCAGACGCCGGGTCTCGGCTTTCACCCTGGCCCGCAGCCTGCTCTCCACCCAGGGCCAGCAGGGCCTATCAGCCAGGGCCAGACCACGCCTTCCTGTGCTCAAACCCACACGCGGCACCTCAGACCGCCAGGCCGGGCTCTTGCCTGCGACACTGGCCCCCCCCTCACCTGAGGCCTGACCTCGCCTGCCTCCCTGCACCCGTCGGTCCAGCCACTCGGGCCTCGCGCTGCTCCTCGCACATCCCACTGCAGGCCATGCACTAGCCTTCAAATGCCCTTCCTCCTATGTCCAAACATCCCTGCTCCCTCGGGCCTCCCTCCAGGGTCCCCTCCCCACTGGGTCTCCTCGCGGAGCCTGCACACTGCAGACTGTCCTGCCACCAGCATGTCCCCCCCATCTGCTTCTTTTCTCCACAGTGCCCTCTCCCCTAACACAAGACACGTTACCGCCTGTGAGCGCAATGCGGGCAGGGGCCTGCGAGTTCCCTGGTCTCTCCCAGTGCCTGGCCCAGGTAGGAGCCAGGACACGGCTAGTCAATTGTCTAGTGAAAAGCAATGACAATCCCTCACAACCACCCTACAGACGAACTGTCACTCTCTCTCTCAGATGGGGAGATGGAGGCTAAGTGCTAAGGAGCCACCTGCCCCAGGTGGCCAGCTGAGGAAGTCCCAGAGGCAGGGTTTGAGCCCAGACTGCCTTCAGGCCAAGGACAGAGGGGGCGGAGGAAGGCGCCCCCCAGCCTGACCTCCGGGTGTCCCCATGCACTTGGTGACCTGGGCAGGTGTGACCAGACGCTGACCACAGGGGCAAAAGCCCAGGACGAGGGAGAAGCCTCAGAGCAGGGCCTTGCCATGGGAAGCCCCACCCTTGGGCAGACTCTGTGGCTGGACCCACAGATGGGGGAAGTGAGGACAGGGCTGACTCAGGGGAGATGGTGCTTTGGGTGCCTCACCCCATCCCTTGGCCCCGCGGACCCACAGACTTACCCAACCAGGATGCCCTTGGAGCTGCGGATGAGGCCGACCAGCACCAGCAGGCAGATGGCGACGTCGAGCAGCAGCAGGCCCAAGTAGCCCAGCCACCTGTGGGCACACGGTGGATGGGCCAGACACAGGTAACATGGGAGGGGGAGGAGGGCGAGGGCGCTGAGGCCCAGCATTTCTGCAATATGGGGATTGGCGTCTGTTCTTATAAAGGATGTCCCCATGGGGGACTCCTGCCATAGTGGCCAGGGAAGGCTCGGCCCCTCCCACCCATAAGACCTCAGGCACCAGGTACTGGGAGCTAACTAGCCCACGGAGAGTGATGCTTAACCCAAGGGCAGTAGGGGCCTGGTGGGGCCGCACCTGTACCAGTCGTAGAGATCCACCTGCTCAGCCAGTGCCTCCAGTGACACGGATGGGTTCCTCCAAAACGGGATAGCAGCTGTGTAGCCCAGCAGCATCTCGAGCAGACCCTGCAGCCGCTGGACCGCCCGCAGGGGCTCTGGCCGCGTGGCCAGCTGCCGCTCCAGGCTCTGCAGGCTGGGCTCCACTGTGCGGTTCAGGGCAGCCGCCGTGTCCCACACCTGCCAGGCCAGGGGCAGCATGAGCCAAGACACCAACCCGCTCCCTGCACACGCCCACCCCTCAGCTGCCCTACCCGGGCCTCCTCCCACATGCTTGGGCACACACTCCGGCACAATCGAGATACACGATTTAGGAGCAGGAAGCGAGTCCCCCATCCCATCGGGTGGCCACTCACGCGGTCCTGGACCCCCGCCACCGTGCGGTTGGCGTGGCGGAGAGAGTAGGTGGCCCGATGGATGCCGTCACTGGTCTCCCCGTTGCCGTAGAAGCCCACGGCGATGCCGGCGCTGGGACAGGGGGGCTGCATGAGGGCGCAGCCGGGCCACACCTCCAGGCTGGGAGCCCAAGCAGGGGACCCAGGCTGCCCCGCCCCATTTGGCCTGGCCCAGCCCTGCCCCGCCCCACCCTGCACTCACCTGCAGACCAGCGTGGCGATGATGACGCACCAGGCGGTGCAGCAGCAGTCAGCGTCCAGGTGCTCCTCGGTCTTGCGGCGCCGGCAGCACAGCCAGAAGGAGTAGAAGAGCAGAAAGAGGAGGTCCAGGGCGAGGCAGACCAGCGGGGCGGCCCCCAGCAGCAGCAGCGCCTGCAGGGCGGTTGGGAATCGGTGCTGGATTCCCAGCCTCGGCTCTCCACTTAACACCAGTACCAGCAAATCCCACTAGCATCCCGGGCCAAGGGACTAGGGACACGCTCCCACGGAACCCTCCCCCAGCCTGGGGACGAGGCTCCCAAGACCTGAGTGACGCACCTATGGTCACCCAGACCTGAGACCCCAGGCTCACATCCTCAACCCTGCACACACCAGGACTTGACCCAAGCCCCACTCGGAGAAGCCAGGTGGGCCAGGCCATGGGGTCCCCTCTTCTAACCCCTCCCAGGCCCTGTGCCCCTCCCCATGGAAGCCTGTTACCTCGTGGGCCCCAGAGCCCAAGGCAGGATAAGTTAAACAGGCATCCCCGACCAGCCCCCGTGAGGAGGTGCTGGCCAGAGAACAGAGACCCAGAAGGTGAGCGGGGGCCCCTGGGCAGGGCCAGCACAGCCGACTGACCACGTGACTGAGGAAGGCCTGTGTCTCCCTGAACCTCAGTATTCTGTTTTGTAAACAGGGGGTGATGGCGCCTCCCCAGAAGAGGTGGGCACAGTCTTGGGAAAGACCACACACACAGCACAGCCCTCGGGAGGGGACAGTCAACATCCCGTCCCCATGCTCTCCTCTGGATCTGGCCGCCTTTGTGAGCCTCTAAGCCCCGGGCAGCCTGAAGGGCCCAGAACTCTCCAACCACGTCCTGGGAGGCACCAGGGGAGGAGGAAGCGCTGCTCCCCCCAGCACCCTCCTGTCACTGAGGCTGGTGTTCCCCATGGGAAGCAGTTGGCTCAGCTCTGGGCGGGGCCCTCAGGTGGGGAGGGTAAGAGGGACACAGCGCACAGCCTGGGGACAGGTGCCAGCCCCACCTCCCCTGGCCCAGTGCTTCACCCCATTTCACTGATAAAGAAACTGGCTTCTGAGAAGATGGAGGAAGGACCTATGTGCCCACATCACGGCCCCTCTGGGCATCTCAGCACACGCCCTTTGTCAGGGTGGGAGTAGGGGCTGACCCAGGGCTTCAGGGCTGCAGGCTGAGCTCGACCATGAGCACCTCATTGGGGGGGCAAGTAAGTACCACCCAAAAGGTCTGACACTTGGAGGCACCCACCCCACAGAGGCCATCGGAGTTGTGGGGTGACCACTGGGCACCCCTCAGCTGCCCTCACTGACACTGCTGCAGAGACACCTGGACCTCAGGGGGACCTGGAAACACCCTTCCTCCCCACTTCTGAACACTCAGCACTGTGGCCATCCCTGGAGCCTGAGCCTGGGGAGCCGTTAGGGGTGGAATGCCCCAGGCCCACCTGCCCGCTGCAGGGCCGCTCTGGCTCAAGAGGCTCAGCCACAGAGGCACTGGGACCGCTGGATGGCAGCCATGGTGCCCAGAGGCTGTCTCCCAGGAGATGGTTGCCAGGCAGCCGAAGGGGATGGCACTCGCTGCCCTCCCAAGAGCCGGCGGGCCCCCAAGGCCTCCCGCCCGGCCCACCATCCCTGGCTGACCCCCACACCTGAGGCGGGGCTCTCTCACCTTCCACCTGACCAGGGAGGCACCCACCAGGGCCTGCACCTCCAGCCATGGTCCAAAGCCACCCTGGGGGCTGAGGTCCTATTTGGAGGCTGGGCCTCCGCCCCCTCCACGAGGCACAGGGTGGTGGTCCCCTCTTGGGGAAGGCCAGGGTGCCACCAAGAGGTTGTAGTCACAGGCCACAGCCCTTGCCTGGCTGGCTGCCCCGTGCTGCCCAGCAAGGAGCAATCTGGGTGCAGTGGGTGTTGGGGGCTGGCGCCCTCCACTCCTTCCTTCAGGCTGGGGTGCAGCTGCCCACCACCCCTGCACTGGCAGCTGGGCCTGACAGTCCCTGACCACCCCTGGTCACTAGCTGGGGAGGGGAGGGGAGCAGGCCCAGGCGGGCTGGCACCAGAGCCACCTCGCCAGCACAAGCCTCCCTCGAGGTCCAGGGCCCTCATGTCACAGAGGCAACTCCACAGCCCAGAGGGGGCCTTGCCCAAGGTCACATGGGAGACGGGCCAGCAGCAGTGGGTAGTCTCCAAGTGGGAATCAAGGGCCTGCCAGAGGGCCAGGGGCCAGTCATGGGGAGCGCTCACCTTAAGGGGGCTGGTATCCAGCACGACCCTCACCCCACCCCACCCCGCCCAGCGCCGGTGACAATGAACATTAGGGTGTTTGGAGCAGCACCGTCTGTGTGTCCCCTGGGTCTGCCCTCATGTGCACAGGCTGGACACCAAGCAGAGGTGCCACAGGCCCTGTCGGTTCCTTCCTCCCAGGTCAGAGACAAGGGGCAGAAAAGACCACTGCCTCCAGGGCCATGCTCACAAGGGATGTCTGTACTTCCATAACCAAGGCCACCCTCCAGCATCCCCCCCCACCCCCGTCAGTCACCAGTTCCTGTCACTGCCGCCTGCCTCTACTCTGCCCTGACCACAGGCTCCTTCCTGAGAGCCCCTCCCCCACACCCTCAATCAGACCACACCACACCCTCGCCTAGAAGCCGCCCCCAAAGCCCTGCCTGCCCTGGCTCCCACACTTCTGCGGGCCATGTCGACCAGCCCCACCTCCGCCCTGAGCTGGCAGCCCCCGCTGGAGGCTGTCCTCTGCTCTCAGAGGCCTCCCGGGGCCCCTGGCTGAGTAGCCAGCCCTCCTATCTCACCCCCACCCACCCCCCCACCTCCTCTCCTGCCTGACCCCCCCCCACCCCCACTCACTGTGGGACACAATCCAGGAGAACAGGGCCCACCTCTCTGGCCTGTTTGGGCCCCACCCCCATGTCCAGAACACAGCTGGCCTGGGGCTGATGCTTAAGTGAATGCATCTACATGTGTCCTCTCAAGGAAATCCTTCCTGGCATGAGGCAGCCGGAGATCAGGGCACAATCCAAACAGGCCCCCAAGTGGGGGCCCCAAGCCCTCCTGGCCCAGCACAGGGCGGGAGCTCAGCCTGGTGACGAGCGAGCAGAGTGCTCACACAGTTGTCAGGACTCATCAAAGAGCTCGCAGGCCCACATCACTGGCTCGGTGGCGCCAGGACCACCCACTCCCACTTGCCAGATAAGAAAACTGAGGCAAGGGCCGGCCCTGTGGCTTGGTGGTTAAGTGCGCGCGCTGCAATGCTGGTGGCCCGGGTTCGGATCCCGGGTGCGCATCGAGGCACCACTTCTCCGTCCATCCTGAGGCCGAGTCCCACATACAGCAACTAGAAGGATGTGCAGCTATGACATACAACTATCTACTGGGGCTTTGGGGGGAAAAAATAAAATAAAAATAAAATCAAAAAAAAAAAGAAAACTGAGGCAAGATAAGCATCGCTGGCCCAGCGAGATCCCAGCACATGGGCAAGGCTGTGGAGAGGCGAGGGTGGAGCTGGGCTGGGGCCGAGCCTGGAGCAGGGGGCGGAGCTAGGAGGGGGCGGGGCGGCCGCACAGCTGGGCTCCCGCTCGTTTGGGAAACGTGTCAGTGTCAGGGCCCGGTGGGCCCCCAAGAGATATTGCTCTGGAGCTGCCAGGCTGGTGGAGGGAGCAAGGGGTGAGACCTGCTGGACATGAGACAGGCCAGGAACAACAGAAAACACAGAACAGACGGGGGCACTGGGCAGCTCTGAGTTTGCACAGTGGCCGCGCGCCCTCCTGAGCAGACCCGTCCTCGTCCAGGGGCCGGTCGGGGGAGGAGGCTCCGGGGAGAGGTCTGGGGGTGTTTAAGGAGCCGGGCCACCGCTGGCTGACAGTGAGCGCGCGGGAAGCGGGTGGGTGGGAGGTGTGCTTGGATCTTCTACAGCTTTGATTTGGTTTGGTTTGGTTTTAGTTGTTGGGGTTTTTTTGGTTTTCCTTCTTTTTTTTTTAAACCATGAACACGTACCACCTTTATAATTAAAACATAAACCCAGAAACCTGCTAGTAGCTCTTTCAGCCGGGCGTGGGAGGCCCCTGGTCTGAGCCCAGCTCTGCCACGTGGGTTTCTGCACATCTGGCCAGGCCCTGCTGCTCTCGCCAGCTTCCTCCTCTCCCGGGCTGTCACATGGTAGAAGAGTGCTGGCAGCCATTAGGGCTGAATTTGGGCCCCTCTCAGTTTACAGCAGCGTCACACAGTCCCTGCTGGTGCCCAAAATCAAGGGGAGAGACACCCTGGGTCTCACCACCAGAAAACTGAGAACTGCCTGCTGTGGGACAGAGGCCCTGGGGAGGAGCCTCCTGCCCGGCCCCCACAGCCACCCCAGAACACTAAAGGCCAAGAGGGGCACACCAGCTTGTGGGGAACCAGACTGCCGAGGTTCAAATGCTGCTGCCTGTTTCTAGAATGTGACCTTGAGTCAATGAGTTTAACCTCTGTGCCTCAGTTTCCCCACATATAAAACGGAGACAGTAACATCTCTCTCCTAGTAGGTTACCATGAAGGTTAAATGAGATAATATGTATAAAGGCTTAGACCAGAGCCTCGTGGGGAGCCCCCAGGTGGTCAGTGCCCTGGGGGGTGCTGCTCCCAGGGCCAGCTCTGCCTCCACGCAGCTGGTGGGCTGGGGACAAGAAGTGGGCACCGTCGCTGCTGGAGGGGAGGGAGCTCAGGGCCGCTCACAGACAAGTGTGTGCATGGCCACACCCACACGTGCACTTTCATGCCCACACGTGCACACATTCACCGCCATACAGTCAGGCCCACGCATTCACATACGTTCATGCCCCCCCCCACACATACACACACACACGTGCACATTCACACCTACAGAAGCACGCCCACATGGATGTTCACAAACACATTCATGCCCACACACGTACACATGCACACACGTTTACACCCACATGCACACACACACATTCACACCCACACGCGCATGTATGTTCCCACACGCACATATTCATGCCCACACATGCACGTTCACACCCACACATTCACACTCACATACACGCATGTGAAGGTGTCGCCCCAAGACCCCTCAGCAGCAGCAACAACAGGTGCCCGTGGCTGGAAGCTCCTGATGGCTGTGGGCAGGT